GTCCCAGGTGACCAAATAGCAGTGGGAGTTGAGTCCTCCCACTCAACTTCCAGCCTGGGGAAGATGCACTGCGGAGGCCAGTGTAGTGTGTGTGTGTGTGTGTGTGTGTGTGTGTGTGTGTGTGTGTGTGTGTGTGTACGCGCGCACGCGACCCTTGTCCTTCCAGAAGGTCGGCCTTTGGTGGTGGACTGGACTGCCCTGCAAACCATCCAATATTAAAATAGCAATACTCATTGGACAGCTCTGAGTGTTGTGGAGCCCAGGCTGAAGACGACATCCCATCATGCTGTGATACAGGGATGGGGATGATACCTATAGAAGTCTTTCCAGAGAACAAGTCAGACTTGGAAACCTGGAGCTCCAGAGTCAGTCAGCTTGCTGTGGCCTCTGGAGAAGCAACATCACCAGCAGGAAGGACCATCACAACCACCCCCCCCCCCACACACACACACCACACACCAGAGAGAAAGACAGGAGTTAATGAATACTACTTAGACCTCTCTCTCTCTCTCTCTCTCTCTCTCTCTCTCTCTCTCTCTCTCTCTGTGTGTGTGTGTGTGAGTGTGTGTTGTTGTTTTGTTTTTCTGAACAGGGTTTTTCTGTGTGGCTTTAGAGCCTGTCCTGGAACTCTCTCTGTAGAGCAGGTTGGCCTAGAACTCACAGAGATCCCCCTGCATCAGACTCCTGAGTGCCGGGATTAAAGGTGTGCATCACCCACCAAGGCCACTTTTTCTTGGTAAAGAAAAATCAAAGCCATACATGGCTCCCCCAACACAGACAGGTGGAAGCAGAGTTGATTTCTATTGGCGAACAACCCAATAAAACAAAATGCACTCTCCCCCTTTCCATACAGAGCTATGCCACAGAACTTTGGGTTCTGGGGATGATGGTCCACAGAAATAATCCCTTCCTGGAGCACTCAGATCAAAGTAAAGGAGCCTGTTATCTCTTCTGTCTCCTCATCTATGTCCCTGAGCAGTGTGGGCGAAAGAGACTAGGGATGCGGAAGTGGATGCCTGGGAAGGCACCTGCCATCAGCTCAAAATCCACTATACTCAGAGCATTCTGCCCAGCCCTGGGCTAAACCCAACCCTTAGATAAATGGGCCCTAGAATGCAGAATACACCCTGTTTATGTAAATGTCCTAAGCCGAAGATGCGGAGAATCCAACGGGACAAGATTCCCAGGACTATTTTTAGACCATAGATGCAATCTGTGCTTCTCAGGAACGACCGGGTCTCTTCAGGGACATGATTGCCTTTCCCTAGCTTATCCATAGCTTATCCCGAATCTTTTACCCTTGCGGGAAAGGGCACGGGTTGGGCAGTTGCTGGCATCCCTCTGGAGGGAGGTGGAGGTGAGGGGACAAGAGCGGGCTACTCAAGGACTCTTGCCAAGACGCTGGCAGCCCCAAGGCCAGGGCTGGATGCGCGACGCAGGAAGCCATCTGGGAGCCGGGAAGAACGGTTGCGGCAACGCTTTCTAGGGAGCCAAGCGTCAGAGGCCCTGAGGCCGTTTCCGGGCACTGGCGAGTGACCGGTGCTGCCGAGGGTGGCAAGTAGTGGCAGGCAGTGGCCTTCCTCCGTATCTGGGCTCCAACAGTGACAAGCCCGGGCCTGGCGCTGCCCCTTGTTCCTTCCCCTCCCGTGCGCAGCATGCGGGAGACAAGCCTGCGCCACAGGCACCGCCAGGCGCTTGCCCGGGTGGACCCAGCAAACACCAGGAGGGCGCAGGGATAGCTGGTTTGCATTTGGTGGGAACAATTAATAGTTTACTTACGAATTCGTCAAGGAAGGAAAAAAAGATTGAAAATGAGAAAGAACCAGACAGTCCAAGGATTCGAGGACAGGGTGTTTGGACCCCATTGGTAACCAGACAGCTCACCGCAGGTCACACACACACACACACACACACACACACACACACACACTGGGGGGAGGGGGTGTGCTTCGCTCCTCACCTCCCCCATTGTCACTGTCCCTAACGAAAACATTCGAGCCCAGCAGGCGAATGTTCCTGTAAAGGGACCTCAGCACAAGGCTCAGCCTGGAAATCGGGAGCCCATTTCTGAGCTTGTCATTCACCTTTGTAACTGCGTCTGTGGATCGGTTTTAAAAAACCTATTCTGTGCCTTCATCTTTAAAGCTGCTGGTAGTTTAACGAAGGGAGGAGCGAGGAAAACACTCATTGGATGCATAACCTTTACTCATTTTTAAAGCAACGCCTTTTCAAGTTGAGTCACAGAATGTCAGTTCCAACTTAAAAAAAAAATGGAGATTCCCCGACCCCCAAAAGTGTTTACTCTGAGACAAAAGTAGATGGAGACTTCCACAGTCAGCTGGGGAAGAAGCAAGAAGAGAACATCTGGAAAAACCGTGTTCAATAAACAGAGAGACTGGAGTGAGCAGGTGCTTCAGGGAGAAAGCAGTATGGAATGTGGTCCGCACTGTAGCAGCCTGAGAACCTGATTGATCTGGTATCGTGGTATTATGGTGTGTATAGGGTGGGGAGTTCTCAGTCCCTGAATCCTGATAGCTGGTTTTGTACTGGGGATGTTTCCAGGGTGGCACCAACAGACATAGTAATAATTAACATCTGTACAGACTGCTGGATGTTGCAAAGATCAGACGTAGTGTAGTTTTATTTAACTCTGTGAGGCCTCAGGAGGATCTCCAATCCTCTCTGGTCTTTGGGAAATAGAAGCTTGTGCAGACTCTAAGTGCTGCCATCACCACCACCACCATCACCACCACCA